CGCTCTTCTGTGACTTTGTATGCTTTCCGACCCCCTCGGGGTCGAGCAATATAGCTGCGAGCCTTAGCAATGCGGTAGGCTGTTGCAGGTTTGACGTTGCATTCTTGTGCTACACGCTTATGCCACATCTAGGCATAGTGATGATTCGCTGACCAGTGGATTCCTGAATCCGAGGCTCGCCATGTACTGGCTGAAACTCTCAAACAGAACATTGCATCGACAAATTGTCGACGACCATTGCTGTACTGCGTTTTCTAATTGCCCAGTATTCGCATTCAGAGTTACTATCAATATAAACCTAAGCGTGGCCTGCCGCGCCAGCATAGTGCTGGCGGAATAAGCTGGTCCTCTCAAATTTCAGTGCGTGTGAGAGCTGGTGACCTTTCACTTGACTCGCTGTAGAATTCCACAACAGTATGATACCGTATTATCAATACGCAAGTCTTCCTCGTTCAGGTCACGGCTTCGGTTTTTATAAGTGGAACTCCTTTCGCTGTGTACTGGCGCTGTATCAACTCGGCCACTCTCCACTCAACTCTAGGAATGAGTTATGGAGTTCCTAGGGGAGATTGCAGCCCACCTGGTAGAAGCAATTTCGTGGCGCGCGGTAATTTGCTTCATTGTTGATCAGATATACTGTGTGATTCAACAGGGAAGGATAAGTAGAACATTCTCCCTGTACGGTGCTCCTCTTTTGACCAGGGTGGTAAGTAGGACTGCTGCCTATCTTGATGTGTTGACACTTATCCCACCATTCACCGAGTCGATTTTCGGGCGCGCGCTAAATCAATCGTGCGATATCCCGTTGTCAATCATGATCTTCCAAGTACATTAGTTTTCAGAGTTTGAGAACGAGGAGGTGATAATGAAAGCGAGAGGATGGGCATGTTATTTACATGAGGTTATGTTGACCGGAAAAGAAAAAAATATGTGATTTATATTTTATCTGTTAGTGATATATTGCGTTTAATTGAAATTGTAGTGGAAAATCGAAATTTTAGCGGTGATAGTAGTGATGGGGTCAGCAGGAAAAGTTTTTTTTCGTCCGAGTGGAAATTCTACGTTTTTGTGAGGAATTGTCGATGTAAATCTGTAGGCGACGATGAATATTCAGAGATGGTTTTTGAAAAATTTGGAAATAAATATACGTCATGTTTTTATGCATAATATTTGCACACTATAACTCGGGTGTATGTGGCTGTACTGAAAGCACTGAAATTTTGTAGACTCTGTGCGAAATGGCAGATCCTCCATCGTTGATTATACGAGACGTGTGTTTCACATTAGCTCTTTCATACCATGGGTAACCAAATTGATATCAAGTGGATAGCAGTGGTCGATTTATGCAGTTTATACGAAGGAGTTTCACCCGTGATATGAGAAACACTAGTGAAAAGTATATTTTACGACTACTGAATATCGCGTTTTTCGCACAGTATTACGCCACTTCACGTAAAACGGGTGGAGCTCCATTTTCTGATGACCATAACAGACAGTCTGGTTACACTAGGATGAGTCGTGGTGAACTCGAACGGCATTCTGGTGAAGGTAGTGAAGAGTTGAGGGGGACCAACAAATCTCAAAGGCTGATTCTCTTGTGTTGATCTTTGGTCGACTCAATGGAACACATCATCGGTAGTGGAGTTTCACCCGCGATGTGAAAAACACGTTTCATATTTGAGAGGCGAAAAACACTAGTTTTCGTTCTGCGAGTGAAACTCCTATGTGTGATTATGAATGTGGGCGTGGCCGGAATTGTGTTACGGTTTGTTTGAACTGTTGAAACGGAGAGAGTTATGGTATGATAGTCAGAGAGATCTGTGGAAACCAATAAAACCGTTTGGGAAATCTCAAATTCACTCGAATTATTTCATCACAATTACTGGTATGGGCTTTCGCGAAATATTCGTTAATTTTTATATGCGAAGAGATTTTGGTTTCAATGCTGTCTACTCAGTCGAAAGTAGTACTAGATGTTGTGGAGGTCGTTGATAACTAACGGCCAGCGATTGGCTAAGTGGACTGATCAGTATGAACTGATATATGTGAAAAGGGGAACCCTGGCAGAATAACTGGTAATTATCGATCGATGTAATGTGTACATCGGTCTCGGTCTTTCGCTGAGTCTGCGGCTACTTTCCTGGGCTGTGATTTGTCCGTCTACAGGGAATGATGGAAATAGTTGTGATATTCGTACTACCTTGGTGGTGTGATCAACTTTATTTTATGGCGTACGTAATGGGAGTGCACGATTAGTGTGTGAGTATTATATGAATGCTGAGGAGTCTCGGGGGCTTTGTATGGACGGAAGCATCTGGTGCGAGAAAAGATGATGTCGTGAAAAATAAAAATAGAAATCGGAAAATTTATGTTTGAATTGATTGCATTTCCACCCGTGATACGAAGCAGCACCGAAATTTCGTTTTGTGCGAGTGACCAGAATATAATTATTGTTGTCAATCCGTAACTCCTGATGCGGGGCATTCAGCAGAAGTTGGCGTCGGTTCACCTCCGACGTTTCCCGATTACTTTTTTACTGGAAAGAAGAATATGTAATACTTTATATGTTAAACATGAGTAGTGATCGAATTTGTTTCTTTGAGCGGAGCGGAGCGATGTTTTTTGTGGTGATTTTGGCCAGACTTCTACTAGGCGGGAGTGTAGCTGAATTCCCTCAGATTAGTAATGAAGACGATTACGACCTGCGGGGAGAAGGAAGGGACGGAGATCATCGCAGCGGTCTATGGGGAGTATATACTGGTGCTTGTTTAGAAGTGTAATATTGGATATGATCATCTGAACACTGGAGTGGAATATATATAGAAAAAATGAGAAGCTCGTAAACGGGTCTTTATGGCAAGTTTTGGGTTTATTGAATGGGTAACTCATGTTTGGTTTCCTCAGCTGCTGAGCTTGGGAGTTTTATACACGGCTTGAAATACCAGTGTATGTCATCTTGAAGCCAACGAGTGAGAATCCATAAAGCTCCTCATGGTCATCAACATGCCCGGTAGTTGATTGTAATTCCGCAACGGCTATACAATAGCGCTGTTGATGGTTTGACGTTGGTAGCGGCTGCATTTTTGGAGAAGATCCTCTTAGGGAGATCTTGGAGTGGGTGAGTGTCTAGGCGGCGGCGGCTTGGGGTGATTGGAGATTACATTGTCTGTGCAAATCGGTATGGTATTGTTGGTGACATGAAAGGAAGGTAATGAACTTACTTGTTGTTTTCGGCAAGTAGTGTATTAAGGTTTCTAACAAGACTGTTGGTGCTTATAGTTGTTAAATAGGGCGACCCAATGTGTGGTGGTGGTAGTAGGGCTTTGTTCGTTATGGAGGATGAAGCCGCCGCCGACACCACCGACGCGGGCGGTGGTGCCCAGAGTGCTGACCAAGCCAAGGAGAGCACCTCCACTGGGGAATCAGCAGAGCAAACGGCGGCACCTACAGGGCACCCCGGGGCTAGCCCCATGGGGCCGCGTTTGAATATGCCAAGGAAATTCGAGAGGCGTCATAAACTGTCTGTTCGTACTGAGAGGTCGGAGTCGTCGATACCATTGGGTTCACCGACGGGAAGTGCTCCGGCGCATTCTTTTAAAGCGCACAAGGCTCGCACTAAAACCAGGCCACCACGACAGGAGTATCACTACCCTTTCAAGTGAGTGACCTGAACTATTAGAGGTTGTTTTGTTGTCTATATTGTTGTTGTATAGGTGGTATGATGACAGTGTTAGCTTCACGAGAGGCACTTCATTTGCGGTACGGAATTTCCAACATCGAAGTCTGATGGAATCACTATGCAATCGGCGGCGTGAGTCGGACAATTCACTTTACATTTACTCAATTACCGCTCAGCTATTGCAACGCCTGATGTTGTTAACCGCGATAAAACGAGATATGTGATCGAGCGGGTCGAGGAGAGCAAACTACAGTTGGACCCTGAGGTCTTCGAGGATTGGCCCCATCTGAGATCCCATGACACTCCAGTGAGTTCATCTGCCCTCACTCCGTTAAGGAGGATGTCGTGTTAGGTTATGCTCCGTCCCTCAGTGGAGGAGACTGGGCTTGCGCAAGACTTCACTGAAGAAGTGAGTTGTTGGAGATGGTTGAAGTAGTTTAGTTGTGTTCCTTCCAGATTACCATTGGTGTGATGCTAACTGGTGCATGGGGCCCAGCGTCGGGTATACATAATGTCGTCTTGGGAGTGAATGACCATCTTGAACAAAGATTCAGTATGTTGAGATGAGTGGTCGTGGGATGACAGATGTGATTTCAGAGAAGTATCGTCTGCTGGGCTTCATGGACGGCCCAAGCGGGTTCGCTAGTGGGAACTTCCTAGAGCTGAATGCGATGCCAAACTTGAGTAGTTATGCCAACCAAGGTGGATCGGATCTATTACGGTAGGGAGTGGATATGAAAATATTGTCAAGTTCATAGGGTAGAAGTTTGGACGTGCCGGGGTTTGAACCCGGGGCCTTCTGCATGCAAAGCAGACGTGATACCACTACACCACACGCCCATATATTTTGATATCCTATCTCACTTCGTGGTTCTTCTGATGTGCGTTTCGTCATATCCACAGTTACGGTAGCCTCCGTGCCATGGATGAGGGCGACTTCAAAGAGATACATGCACTTTGCCGCGAATACGGTCTGCATGGGCTCGTCGTTGCTGGCGGCCCAGCCGAAGTCAGTCACGGGTACACAACTTGTTGATGCACTCCTATCTCAGATTTCCCATGTATCACAGCTCGTGTGTTATTTCGAATCGGTACCGGAGGCTGAGAGGGTGTCGATAATTTCGGTATTCCAATCACCCAATTGCAACGTGAGTGTAGATCGGAACATGCACATGGTCAACTCCGCATGTTGATGACAACACCGTATTTTTCGTGCACTTCTGCCATTAATCATGTGTAGCTCCTTTTCATAATGTCATGAGAAAGCTCCTGAGCTCATCTGATATCAGTGTGAGAATATATGATTGGTTTCTTCAACTGAGCTTGTGAGTTCCCTCACTACATTGAGGAAATCTACGCACGATTTTGGTTAGAAGTGTACAATAGCAACGACAATTTCCCCAAAAATTTCCTCAGAATTTCCATATTTCTACCAACACATGTAGTTGGCAATATGAAATATATATATTCTAACACTATAAACAGCTCTTTGTAGGTCTATGTGCCCAAATGGCTGCCCATCACTCTCGGTTTCGATTCAGCAATGACGGTAACAGCAAGTGAGTGAAAGCGGGATGACTCATTAGCCGTCTTTTAGGTCAGCTGTGAATTTGCTGGCAACTTGGCAATGGATGGTCTCTCATCTGGAAGGCATATCGATTATCATTTCATTCGGTGTGGTTCGAGTACAGCGACACTGGAGGTGGCCCTTCAAGTGAGTTGCTCCCTATGCATCTCAGAAATCGATTCATCTATCGTTAAATTGATGTCACTAGTTGTGAGTATGATTTCTTCGCCCGCTAAGTTCGTGGATTTAACCGGCAAATAGATTCATTGTGGTAGAATTTGCATACAATCAACCACACGTGTTGGTGACAATAACAAAACTCTCAGCAAATTTGGTCAGTTTCTGTACACTTTTCTCCCGATTCGTATAGGAAATTTTTGAGGAAATTTTTGAGCTCAGCTGAGGGAAGCGCACATATTTTCATCTCGTTCCGTTGAAGTCGATACAAACAGTTTGCCATTCCTTACTCGATAACTGAATCTTATTACACAGCATTCTCAGATCACAGGAGTCGTTTGAACTCGCGAGTTTGCAGTCAGAAACAACTTCATCAACACAGCATTGAATGTTCAATGTTAGCATCGCATTTTCTTTCCAGGTGCGGCCGACTTATACGATTTTAGCTGAGGACTTGACCCAGTGTGGTCCCGATGGACGCGTGAAAACTCTGAGGAGTTTGGTAAAGACTGTTGCCAATTTGATGATAACACGTTACCAAATGCACCGACTCCGGAGCGGCACGGTGAGCTGATGACTAACTGCTAAGGAAGAGATTTCGAATCATTAGATTCTCATATCTGATGGATTTTACGATTTCCTACCACACTTCGCCGAACTCGAGGTAAGCCCTTGAAAGGCCACCTAGTAATCAGTTTCCTGTTTCAGCGTGAATGCCGTCAACTTCAACAGAATTGTTCGGATATCGATAAGCCGCCCTCCATCGACGATGCTCTCCGACTGTAAGTTCTTTGTTATATTATCATTGGAGTTCCACCCGATATGTGGAAAACACTAGTGAAAAATATATTTTACGACTACTACTTTTCACCGCGAATTTCGGCTTTTTTCACAGAGTATTACGCCACTTCACGTAAAGCGGGTAAAACTCCATTATAATACGACTCTTGTTGTCGTCATCAGTTTATCTCCACCGTGTTTGGACCTCTTCGTACAGCTGCCAAGGTCTGACCAGGATCGTCTCGTGAAGGTAAGAATTAGGATACTGTACATGCATTCGCGTCTTTGAGTGTTTTATTGAAATGCCTGATGCGTGACACTCAGCTGGTGGCTTTCCCACAACTTGGTGAAGACGTGTTAAAATATATGTTCGCTTTCCTCAGCTGAGCTCAGGAGGTTTCCTCGTTGATTATAGAAATTTGCATACGAATTAGGGTAGAAGTGTACAGAAACCAATGAGAATTTCTCAGAATTTCTGTATTGTCAACAACACATGTAGGGAATAATTTGAATTTTGTATATTGTTACCATAATTATTGGAAATTGTTGAACAATAACTGTAGGCCTATGATATGGAAGGAAAGCCTATAGAAGTGGGGACTGAACCAGAAAGGCTTCTCGCTATGCTGGTGATGGAATATATACGTAAGTCGCTCTCGAGATTTCGATAATGAAAACTATGGGAACGCCGTACAGGTGTCATGAACGAGGGCATTCACAGACGAAATGCAGCTAAAGATTTGTGTGGCGGAAATTCTGGGTAAGTGAGAAAAAAAATATGCAAAGACTATTGATGATGGAATTTCAGGCCGGGCTCGCAAGGAGGCAGCTCGCTAGCTGGCACTGAGAGCTATGATGAGGATTCTATTCAAGATATGGAGGAGGAAGTGAGTGGGAAGGCGGAGCGAAGCGTTGCATGTTTTGCATATATTCATCGTGAAGAGAATTTATTTTTTCGGTGTTTTTCACGTAGAATTTTTTCACTTTTCTTGTGTGCTTACCACTACTATTTACTCTCACTAAGAGTGCGTCATTTGTATTATTGTTTTTGTATTATTGAATTTTAAATTCGACACTTTGTTATTTGAAGAGTAGGATCGCTATACAGTGGTGGAATATTTGTGCGATACCCTCAGCTGAGCTCAGGAGTTCACAACGCAAAAATAATGAAAAATTTACGCACGATTTCGGGTAGAAGTGTGAAAAAACCAACAAGAATTTTCTCAGGAATGTGTTCCTATTGTAATCCTATGAGATCGTTTGTGGTATTTCTCAGTTCCCCACACCGTGTTTGAGAGTGCACTATCTCGGCCAAGAAGCGCGGTGCCCTCTTCCGAGCAAATTCGATTGCCAATTTGGATGGGCGTTAGGCCAGGCTGCAGCAGCGTTGGCGATAGCACCGAGGGGAAGGTAACGATAGCATCAGTTTGTTTTCTTTCCTCACCTAATCTTGGGAGTTTTCTCGTTAATGAAGAAATGTTCAAAAAAACTAACAATAATTTCCCAAAATTCCCTCAAAATTTTCATATCGTCACCAACACATGTAGTGTGCATATTTTTCCACACTAAAAAACTAGAATGAAAAAATGAAATTTTCATTTTATTTTTTAAATTTTTTTGTTTTCATACCGTAAATCAGGTATAACGGCTACGTGGCAGTTGTGACAGATTTGCTCGAAGACACTTCTAAGTGGGGCATCGGCGGGATTCCGCTAGCTCCCCTCCTCCGAAAGTAAGAATCTCCTATAGATGAAATGGAGCCTACAGTTGAAATACTTGATTACTCACAAACTTTGGTTTTTTTTTCGGGAAATTTTGCGGATAAATTCATCCGATTTGAAGTTTTCAGAAGAGAACAATCGATTCGTTGGAAAGTTTTTTTTCCTTTTTTTGAGGATTTTTCGTCAG